CCGGAGCTGGAATTGAGCCCGGTACCTCTGCACCGTGAGGTCGGCGTGCTCATCACCGGGCCGCCCCTGTAGAAAGTCCGAAGGGGTCAAATGGGCCTCAAACGCTCAGGAGACCTTGGGCCGGTCTGCCCAAAGTCGGCCCTCGAGGGCCGCCGTCCACGCGACGCCCCCCCCGATTCAAACGACGGGGCTCGTTTTCGGGCCGCTTCACGGCCGGCCGATCATTTGAACTTAGCCGGCTGGTAGGAGGGGCGGGCCGCCGGCCCCCGAGGGCCGCGGCCGGACATGCCTCGCCCGAGGAAGGTATGCCTTTGCTTTCGGTGCAAGGACATCAATGGTGCAGACGCGCATTCCAACGTGTCGCCGCCGCCCCAAGATTGCCTGCGAGCAGTTGTCGCGTGATGTCCATTTGAGCCAGCGGCAACTGTGGTGGGGCGGGGCCCGCGCTTTCTGATTTGAGTCCATTTTTTTTTTCCCCCTCCAAAATTGGCCAGCCCCCGCGGGGGCCGATAAATGAGAACTAGATTTCCCAGCCACGAGCAGTCGAGCATCTTCTTCTGGCTTTTCTGCTGTCGGTTTTCCTTCAGTGTTGTTGCGTGCAAACTGCACCAATGGCCTCAATCGGCGTTTCGGAGACGAGACATATTTCATCTTTCGGTTGCTCCACGCGGGCGCCATCTCCCCGATGACCTTTCAAAGACCGGCACTTGCGTGTGACCGCACCAGCCTGTGCAAATGCGCCGCTAGCACAGTCGGGTGCTCCCCGTACGCCCCCCCCCCCCCCAAGACACGTGTTTGTGAGGTGGACTCTTTTTCCGTGTTGATAAATGACACGCAAGTCCACGCACGTCTCCGCGGGTGATGGCGCAAATGGCCCCGGAGAGCCGCTCACCGCTGGCGTCGGCGGCCGTCGCGCTTCAGGCCGGGCGGGTTGACGATCAGCGCGTGCTTTGCGAGCACCCGGAAGCAAGCGCCGGTCACGCCGCGATCTTCCCGGCACGCGCAATCGGCGGTGACCGCTGATCCGACGCGGGCGCCGCTGCGCTCGCGACGGCCGAGGG